TTATCTTTAAGGTGGTGCAAACCTTCTAATGCTAACCTAGAAAGATTAAGGAGGGGAGAACAGAATCAATTCTACTCCCCTCTACCACCCTATTCATTACTCTGTTCTCTTGCAGGAAGGCTAATAATGCTGATAACATGGACTTTGTCCTATCAGAGACCTCAATTTTATTGCCTAGTACCTCAGAAGCTCTCTGGGATAGAAATCCACCCCCTTCACCAGCCTGTGGGACTTTACCCACAAGGCATTACAGTAACTCACATGGGCTAACTGTGCTTCCTGTCACCCGTTACTACAACTTATATGTCCTAATCTCACCAAATAAGTGGTCTTCTTAGCTTCAGCTAAGAAGGTGACTACCATTTTAAATAATTTTTTAAATAGAAAGAAAAAACAAACACAACCAGGTCCCAGAACATGAGTTATCACCCCCACTAAGAATCCCTGAAGAGGTCTCAGGCAACAACTGTCATATTAGAGCCAGAAAGGACTCAAAGAGAATTCTGGTCAGAAATCATAACTTGGCTCAAATATTAGTTATACACCTTCCTCACCTGGGTTGCCCTTTGCTCAGTTCAGTCACTGGTCATGTTCATGATCTCATCTTTTCTCAGATCCTGGGGGAAGGAGTTGGGAGGAGTGGGTTGTGATATGAACACTCTAATAAATGTTAAGCAAATGAATTACAGCATCTGTCCTCCCATAGGGCTGCTCCATTTTCAACCTCTCTGAGACTCAGTTTCCTCATCTGCAAAAATGGAGATGACACTTATAAAACCTACCTCAAAGGGTGGTTGTGAGCAAAGTGTTTGCAAAGCACTATATAAAAGTGAGTTATAATATTATTTTCAATGTGTAGCAGTTGCCTAAAACGTGATTCCGAGTCTCTCAGGCTACACTTACTGGCCCCACCCATATGCCTGATCCTTAGGACCTTCTAAACATGTAAATATAAGAGGAATCACTGCTTATACAGAACCAAATTCTTCCCTACTCACAAAGAAGTATTATTTTTAATGGCCTTGACAGACCCCATCTGGAGTATTGTGTTCAGTTTGGGGCACCATGGTTTAAGGACACTGATAAACTGAGGAATGTCCAAAAGGCAACTAGGCTGATAACGGCCCTTGAGTCCATCACATATGAGGGTCAACTGAAGGAATTAGGAAATGTTTAGCCTGGAGAAGAGATGGCTCAATGTAGACCATGAGAGTTGAGTCCTCAAGTATTTAAAGGCTATCATGTGGAAGAAGGATTACACTTGTTCTGATAGCCTAAGAGGATGGGATGGAGAACAAAATGTGAAAGTTACAAAGAGGCAAAGTTAGGATTAATTTCAGGAAAAACTTTCTAACAATTATAGCTATCTAAAAGTGGAATGGCTTGCCTTGAGAGGTAGTATTTACCCCTTAGAAGTGTCCAAGCAGAGGCTGCAGGGCCTCTTGTCAGGTATTGTGTGGTAGGGATTCCTTTCCTATGTGAGTTAGACTAGACAGCTGCTGAGGCCCTTTCCAACTCTCAAATTCTGTGACTTGGATAAAGGTATGAATGAGATGACTATCAAATGTGCAGATCACACAAATTTGGATAACAGAACCAAGAAAGAATAAAAAAGGCCTAGAACAATCGGCTGGCTTTAATGTGATCAAATTAATAGAGAAAAACATAAAATCCCTCTAGCAGTGAGGACAGCCACCCTCAAAATAAAGATATCCAGGGGTCACATCAAACCTCTGACACATAATGAATTGTATGACCCTCAGCAAGTGACTAACCTTCTCAGTGCTACTAAGGGTCTAAGTTGCAGAGTACCTGATCTGCATTAGCAGAAGGAATCCCTCACTAGGTGTTCCCTATATGAATGAAATCACTGGTTCTAATTGTACAGGATGGGAAAGGAATGACTACAGAATAGTTCATGTGAAAGAGATCTGGGTGCTTCAGAAAACTTCAAGTTTAATATGAGTAGACAGAGTGATATGGTAGCCAAAAAAGCTAATGCAATCTTCAAGCTTCTGGTAATGCAGCCTGTGATCAAAGTAAGGGAGGTAACAATCCTGTTGCACTTGGCCCTGGCTGGAACAAATCTGAAGTATTTGGTTCAGGTCTCCACAAGACATTTTAGGAAGAAAGGTGGAACAGGCCAACCAAAATGGAGAGAAAACCAAATTTTCACTCAATATAAGGAAACGCTTCCTAATGCGTCTAAAAATGGACAGGACTGCTTCTAAATACAGTGAACTTTCCATCACTTTAAGCTGAGACAGATTAACCATTTTTGAAGTACTATCATAGAAGATTTCTATTCAGGCACAAATTAAACTAGATGACCTCATCATGTCCCTGCCAACTTGGATTCTACAATTGCTTGTCTGGTAACCTGTGGGCTGGTCCACAAAAGTGGAAAACTGAGGGAGGGAGTAAAGGAAGGACCTACTAACTATGGAGCAAAAAATAAGGAAGAATAACACATAAGAAACTTGTCTGCCTCACAATTTTGTATAGGGCTGGTTCTGTGGATGAGAGAATGGGAACTCTGGAAAAACAAGGAATTGAGCATTAAAGGAATACTGACCAGAAGCTTCCTAACACCAATGGAACAAGCTTAAATCACAAGCCACTGGCCCATAATATGAAATACTTTCTTCTAAGAAAAGTAGTTCAAGTAGTACTGTAGAATCTATATGGAAATCAATTGTAGAGCCAGGGAGACTCAAAGACCTAAGTCACTGGTGAAACCAATACAGACCAAGGGGTCCAAAACTTGAGAGAACCCATATACTGGGGTGAGGAACTGGCAGTTCTAAAGATCATATGGCAGTCAGAGACCCCAACCTAGAAGATAAAAGGTCTTGGAGTTTTCACTGGACAATAAATCTCCCCTAAGCAAAGTACTATATTTCGTAGCCATTCCCAGATTAGAAAGGCATTTGGGCAATTTGGTTGGGAAGAAATGTCCTAAATTACCTAATTGCAATCTGCAGAAAGATATGTTGATGGGAAAATTATACCTAGAATATCAGGCAATAGGAGCATTAGCAAAGCTATCTACTTGAATAGCTGCAAATGAAAAGTGAACAAAATATCTGCTCAAAGAGGCAAGAGGGGCAGGGCAAAAGGAAACAGAACTGTGATAATCAATCATTGAAGAGGGACTAAGACAGGCACACAAAAAAAGGAAGATGGATATGGAATGGGTTAGGAGGCAGAAGTTAGGGGCAGAGAGTAGGCAAAACTATCTTTGGCTACACAGCCTTCTAAGTGATAGGGATAAAGTTGGGGAGAAAAACCATGTTATGTGAGGTGCTTTGCCATCTCTTTCTTTTTTCAGGGTAAAATAGTGATGGGAAAATATGATAATAAAAAGAATAAAAAAATTCTCAAGGGGGAAAAAAGCCAATAGGCCTCCAATCTTCACTAGACTGATCTCTTGGGAGGTCAATAATACAGTTATGGCCTTGCTAGGTAGGGATCTTGGAGGTGAATAACAACAAGGCCTCTCTTCTCTGACTCTGCAACCTATCAGACCTCTCATACAAACCCTACAGATGCTGTCACTGTCCAATACCATTTTCCAATAATAAAGAAATCAAGCCCATTGGTGACAGGTAGCAATGGACCAACAAACCAAGCTCCTGAGTAGAATTTTTCCACTCTAAGCCAAATCCTCTCCAAAGTAACCTCATCCAAGTTCCTTCGAAAAAAATTTGGTGCACCAAACTCCATCATCACTGGCTAGGAAAGCCCAGAGAGTCCCACGTTGAAAGTTTCATCTAACTGCTGATGACTCCAAGCACCTTTCTAAGATGATTAATTCAATCTCTTCCATTCTCTACTCCTGAGGGAGTCGCCAACACTACCTTATTATACCGCTAGGTGTGAATGAAGCTAATCATACTCTCCTCAAACTTCCTAGCACCCTCACAAATGAAATTCTCAGGGAGACAAAAATTAGAAAGACTGAACACTCCATTCAACTGTACTTTCACATGGGGTGAGGAGGGAAGATTTGAGTTTGGGGTTGTTACCAAACAGAAAAAAAAACCCAAAACCCAAACATCATACCACACTGGTTTCTATTACTCCTATTACTTCTCTCTAACTCTGTGGCTATCAAGAATCTCTGATCACCCTCCCTCCAATACTGGGGTCACTCAAGTGGACAAGAAACCCATAGCCTCCCAAAAGCTCCTTAACTGATTCCAAAGTGCGTGTCAAGTTTCTCAACTTCTCCATTCCTCCAGCTTAAATAAAGCTTACTTCTTTCACCTTAACTCTTTCCACTGAGTCCAAATCTCCCTCAGCTAAACTCCTTAAATTACCATTAAAGTTCTGTCACTCCATCCCGTCCCCTTTTGGGATCTTCTCCACTTAAGCTTGACTCCAATATCACCCACCTAAGAATCCTTCATGGATCTTCCCAATTCATCCTTATTTCCATCCATTAAGCGGCTCCCTTGCAGCCCAGTTCCAATAACCCCCTTCATCTCCTTGCTGCAGCCCATCAGGCTGTCTGTCAGATGTGGCCCCTCCACCACCCACCTCTACCTCGGCGCCCTGCAAATGGGCTTATTTCATCCACTCCCCCAATCCCTTTTCTCCAGGGCCTAGATCTAGTTCGCCCTTTTCGCCATCCCAACTAAGACAACCCCTGCCCCAAGCAATCCCCTTTGGTCTGCAGGGCCCACCCCCCCCTGCACCCCGCCAGGCCCACCCTATTGCATCCCACTCCGACCAGAGCCAGGCCTGACTGGGTCTAGTAACCTCCCAGCCGGTCTTCTTACCTTTTCCAATACCTCAGACCCCTCCCCACTAACTTCGCTCTCCCTTCCCGCCCGTCCCCCGACTCAAGAGCTCTCCGTTAGGCCTGCCCATCCCTGCCTCCTTCATCCCCAGTCCCGGCCCGGTCCCCTTACCACCCGCAAAGCAGGCCTCCCTCCTTCCCAGTTCACCGGCGACTCCTTCCGCCCTAGCCCCTCCGGCTCCACCAGCCCCAGTACCTAAGCCTCCGTCTACCCAATCGGGCCCGAGCCTGTGTCGAACAGACAAACAGCTGCGAGTCAACCAAACCCTTCTCCACCTCCTCCTCCTTCTCCTCACCCTGGGGCGGCGGCCTCGACCAATAGCAGCTTCCCCCACCCACCGCCGGAGGTGGGGCTTACGTCGACACATTTGCCAATCGTCTTTGGGGAGGTGGGTTCTTCCGGCATTGTCGCTAACGGATACCAGAGAGTGCCCTGACGGACGAAGCACGCAACCAATAGACAACGAAGTTCCATGCAAATGAGCAGCCATTAAAGAGCGAAGTTTCCGAGGTAGGGGGCGGTGCGCTATTAACGGACATCTGTACCGACCAATGGAATCTCGACACCCAACGAACCCCCGCCTCCTCCTTTCGACTCATAAACATCTGATCAGGTGAGCAATGGAGGGAGGATCATGGCAGAGAACTGACCAATCGTGTCACGAATTAGAGTGTGATTGGCAAACGAGGCGGGGCAAAAAGGAAGCCTTATGTTAACCTTCGCCCCCCAAGTTTGGGGTTGATACCAGACAGTTCATCCCATGGGAAATTTGCAGATCAACCCTAAAATTTCTTACCTAGGAGGATCCTCTCACTGGATTGGCCAGGGGAACAGGGAGGGGAATGAAGGTAGAGGGAATGTTCACTTCCGGGGGGGTCAGGGCAAAGGTCATGACTCCTTTTGCTTGGTCCCTGCCTTTTGACTGGGACCCCACTGGGGAGAGGGCTCATGCTTGGGGCATAAAGTGCAGGGAGATGTGCAGGTGCAGTTTATCTCTGGGTCTGAGGGGCCGGACTCGATGCTCTGTGTGACCCCACTTACAGCAGGCGGGGGCAAGGCGGGAAGAACTGAGCTCCGTTCCGGCTTCCTCCCGCCAGCGATCAGAGCTTCTCTCTGGCCCTGCATGACTCCAGCCATTTATGTCGGAGGGTCAACCCTGGTGAGATCTGTTGGAGGAAAATCCAAGACCTCACCCATCACTAGACCCTGCCCTCCATTCCCCGAATCCCAAGGATAAAAGAAACAGACTGTAAAACTAGGAACTTTGTTTTAATGAATTACAAACTAAATTACAAATAACATTAACTGGGATTGGTTGTGGGGGTAGGGTGTGAGGACACACAAGACCATAGGAAGACAAAAATATGTTTTTAAAGATTTTCCTTACAAAACCCTAAAGGTGCACATGGCAGCAAAATTCCTCCCCGATTAAAAAACAAACAAAATACTACAACTTGGAATATAAATAGTATTGTCCTTCCTTCTTTTAAACAAATATTCCTCTGTCACTCGCATTGCCCCCTCACAACCTTCCCTTTAAAAAGTGTCAGGCATTCTCCAAATGACTTTTAACCCTATTCCTGGCCCCAGTTTTGAGTTTCCTTCATTGGAGGGTAGGAAGCAGAGATGCTCAACAGTTAACTGAAAGAAACTTGAGGCCAATTCCAAAAGGGATGGAAAAACAAACACCTCCCACCCTTATAAGGCAGCAGTGAAGTAGTCATGGATCAGAAAGAACAATTCTCCCTCTCTTCTCCCTTTGTTCCCATCTTTCACCCCAAGTTCAGTTTCTGCCAAATGGACAGAGGGGTGGCAGACAAGGGAGCTAGGGCTAATTGGTTCTGTGGCAGCACTTACTGGGACTGGGTTTTTATTCTTCCAGCCTGTGAGAGGAGGTGAGCATTCTGGGGTACAAAATAAGATTTTATCTAATTTTCTTTTTAAAAAATTCACAACAAGGGAAAGCACACACATACACACACCAAAAAACAAAAATACACAATTATTTAAAAGGGGCCCTGTGGAATGTTCTTTCAAAGCTTCCCACCTAGCCCTCTGCTTATAGTAGGTCCTATATAAACAGTAGCAGCAGGAGGATGGGAGGGGTATGCTGAAAATCCTATGTGTCACTCCCAAACTCAGGAGACAATCATCACCAAACAGAAGTCCTAGGTAGGGGGTGGTTTGTCAGACAGTGGGGAGCCCTGAGGTCCTGTCTTTTGTCCACCCCCCTCAGCATAGATCAGGAGCTGAGGCTGCAGGGTCTGTCTCACTGCTCATGCCCTAGAAGGGGGCAGTGGAAGGCAGATATTGGCTTAAGTGCATTGAATACTGAATCTCCCTTTCATTTCCTACCCCTCCCAATCCCCAGCTATCCCCAAAATGGGTAGAGCAGGAAAAGTGAGAAGGTAAGTTGAGAGTTAGGGGAAGCCAAATTGGCTCTCCCCGACCCCTATCTAAGTTCAAACAGCCTCGGAGCCAGGCCAGGGCTGGTCTACCCTAGAAGGTGAGGATAGGATTGGGGGGTAGGGGTACAGCATGGCTCAGAGTCGCAAGTGGGGTACAGGCTTAGTAACATCCAGGAAGAAGGGATGAGTTAGAGCTGCCTTGGCTGAAACACGCTTGTTAGGGTCATAGTGCAGCATTTGCTGGAAGAAGAAAAGGAAATTATTATTAAGAGAGATGTCTATGTTTGGAGGGGGTGAGGGACAAGCTACTAAAACAGGATCCCACCCACCCTCCATCCTCCACACAGATGGGCCATTTCTGCGATTCATTATACTATATGAGTCAGCTTCAACCCCTATACTCTCTAAGCTTTGCTGGGCAACCCCTGGGAAACCACCAGGGAAAGATGAGGCACAGAAAAAGACCTCTACTTTAGGAAATGGTAAGACCTTTGAGTCCAAGGGACCTGACCTCTTCCTGACTCTCCAGGTGATAGGCAGTGCGAGTTGGATTGAGGGGATGGTCCATTCTGGGATTGTGAGGTACAAAGAAAAAAGCTGGTTTCTTCCCTCTTTCCTAGCTTACCGACAGCAAGCTCTGTCCATCTTCATCTAGTGGAGGGACCACCTTACTGAAATCTTGTCGTGCCCATTTAGGGAAGCTGGGTTTATAATCAGGCATGGAGGTCACTCCTGGCCAAGCTACCTCATCTGGTGTTCCCAGTGTCCGAAAGATCCTGAACAGCTGGTCAATTTCTGAGTCTCCAGGGAATAAAGCCCTACGGGTAATCTAGAAAGTAGAAGAGGAGAACAGGAATGACTTAGGTGAACCCCTCCCTGCACACAGAGTAGAGGTTCCCACAGGCAGTAGAAGGTCAATGGGACCCCATGACTCCCCCCAGGGCCCTTCACGGGTCAGTCACACTTGAGCCTGAGACAATAAAGCCCCTTTATTATCCCCACACCTCCTCCTTCCCTCCCCCAACCATGGCTTTTCAGATCCCCCTAGGCTGGGGAGGGGGGGGTTGGGGTGGGGGTGAGTGGGGGCCACTGATGTGCAGCAAGGGGATCCCAAGCCACTCACGGGGTGTGGGGTGGGCACTGAAGTCATCCCCCCTCCTTGTGATGCAGCCACTTCTAGATAGGAGTACAGAGGGCAGGGACTGTGTCTTCCACTTCTTCTGTTATCCCCCACAGCACCTAGCACAGTGCTGGGCACACAGTAGGTGCTTAATAAATCCTTGTTGATTGATTGAAACAGGAATATGGGCAAGTGTAAGGTAATGCATTAAGGGACAAATAACCCATACTATATTTTTAAGATGATGGGTTATGAGTCCTTAGTTCAGTTTCCTCATCTATAAAATGAGGGGGGTGGTCTAGATAACCTTCAAGGTCCAGTAAAGGGACCTGGGAATAAGCTCTCAATAAATATTTGTTGCTAATTTGAAGACACTGGGCCAATGTGTTGCTCTGGTCAAAGAGACCTACAAAAGGCTAGGAGTAGTAAGGGAAGGTATTGGTAACAAAAGAGAAAACATTAATCCTCCCCTTCTCCAAAACCATGATACATCTATACCTGGAATACTAGGTGCACTTCAGGTCACTGCACCTCAAGACAGATTATCATTGAAACTAGAGAAGATTCAGAAGGATAACTTAAAGATTCAAGGAGATGGGGGAGGGGCTTCCACATACTAAAAACATTAAGAATCTTCTGTTGGGAAAAGTCAAAAGTTGAGGGCATATGCTCAAAGTCTATAAAATAAAAAATGGTATAAATCAAGCTCCCTGAATTCTGTGCTATTAGAACCAGGAGAGATACCCTAGGAAGTTGAGGGAGGAAACTTTAGGTTCAGTACAGGAAATACTACTTCCCATCCAAGGTAGTAAACTTTTAGAGTGCATGAATTAGCTATAAAAATAAGTTTATCTATAAACTAATGGTGGCAAGAAATGAGGATTTTGTTGGGGGACTATCCTACCATTTGAAGTCATTATCAGGGAAGAAAAGCATACCCACCCACCCCATCCCACTTCCACAATACTTCCCTTGCTATCAGAAACTAGGGCTGGATGGAGCACAGGTCTTAACCAGTGTGACAGTTCTTAAGTGTTCTCATGCCATGAAGTAGAAGGGGATGTGTTATGTGTGTGGTGGTGGAAGGAGTGAGAAGGTGGGGGATTAGTGAGGATTAGGGTCAGGGTCTATAACATACCATCTCAGCAAAGATACAACCCAGGCTCCATATATCTACAGCTGTCGAGTAGTATTTACAACCCAAGAGGATTTCTGGTGCTCGATACCACAGGGTTACCACCTGAATGGAATGGAAAGGTTGGCAATGTTTGTACAGTAGAGAAACCCAAGCCTCTTGACACCATTCTCTAAAACTCCAATCTTTAAAATAGTTTTTCCTTCCTTCAACCTGTCCCTCCTACTGATTTCTCCCTAATAATCTTTTCCAACCTCAAATCAGTCTGAACATGTGGTCCTTACCCTTACCATGCAGTTTATTTTATGTGCCTTCTATGTGCTTCTATCCAGCTGTCCCAGCTTTGTGTCTGGTTAATCTGATTCCACAATGAATGGGATTAAATTCTGAGATTTTCCTGGAGTATCAGGGGTTCTTTCCCTCTAATTATTATTATTGTCAATTGTAATATGCTCTAGCATACTATACAACACAATAATAATAGATATTTATATGGCTCTTTACATTTTCTTTATCAGCATTTTCTGTTTAATTTTCCATTTGATAGAGGAAATCTCCAAATCCCCCAAATTTACCCCTTCTAAAACTATTTCTATCTCCTTCCTTCCAATAAC